TAAACATGAACACACTGGAGAGCTGATTTATATTACTGAAGCAGTAATTATAATTTAAAGTGTCATTTTTTTTTTCATGTGTAACACTGTAAAGTTGCTTACTTTAAAACAATAAATTATATAAAGTGCTATATAAATAAACGTGACATGACTGAGTGCTGAATTGCAGAGAAAGTGCAAACGTGTTCACGTCACTGTGATAATATGGAAAAATTACAATTTATTGTTAATTTACAGTACTCACACTCAGGTCATTAAGAGAAAATAGTCCTTTTGAACCAGTTCTTTTTAGTGCACTAGATGAACAAATTCACCAAATCGGACTGAACCGTTTGAAACAGTTCGTGTCTCAAGCAGCACAGATCTACAAGTTACTCAAAGAAAACTCACTTTCAGAAGTGCCTGACAGTCACTCCGTCTCAAAATGAGGCAAAATAATTGCGTATGATCCTATGATGCTGTTTTTTTGCCAACTTATTTAGCGCTGCAGTTCCTCTAGAAGAGTATGGATATGTGTGACATGCCGAGAACAAACTGCCAAGGGATTCATAAAGGGGGCAAAATGAATGTTTCTGAGGTATTTTGCTGAAAGCATAAAAAATAGCAAATTAAACATATTGGAAATATAACAGTGATCCGATGGCAGTAGTTCTCAAGTCAACAGCAGTACACTGCTGATGGTTCTCTCTCAAACCATGAGTCCGTTAATCTGAAATGAAGAAACATTTTGGACTTGGATCAAAGGCTGTAATATGTGCATGCGTGAACCTAGCACTTGAATGAAGGAGCCAATTGAAAGTTTTTATGGTTCTCATGGTTTATGTTATAGATGATTAAGATTAGTTTATTCACGCTATGCTTTAGACACAAAAAACATCTGCAATTCACATCATTATTGGGTGCTTTAATAACGAATAGAGATATACAGTATGTGACACCATTGTGTGACTATGTAAACAAACTAGTGAACTGGTTATTTGAACCAGTTAACTGAAATGAACTGTCCAAAAGAACCAGTTCACAGAGAAGAATCTGATTTCCTAATTTGCCTGAGGCTCTGGATTGCAGGTAATAATGTTGTAAATAATGTTACGTTTCTTGCACAGATTGATCGTTTTGCTTCATCGTCAGGAACGACACATGTTAATTTTATGTTGCCTGTATATATGCTTTTTTGACTCTCAAAGTGACAGCAGCCGTGCATGGTCCTGCATTTGATAAATTACCAAGAACCACAATTTCAGCTAAAAATCTTTACTGTATACTGAAGAAAAAAAGCCACATACCTGTACAATTTGGATGGCCTGAGGGTGAGTAAATAAACATCAACTTTATTGTTATAATGTTCTATGTTTATCACAATAAAACTGAAAAATATAGACTCACTCCAATTTATTGGTATTTTAATAATGTAGGCTTGTCTTGAACATCCTTCCTGTATATACAAGCACTGTATTAAGCACACAACCTATTCAATGATAAGCGCTTCTGATTGCTACATTTAAAATGTCTGTTTATCTGATAGTTATTACATCTAATTCACTTTGTCTGCAATAAAGAAAGCAAACATTATGCAAGCATCACTACAGGAATCAGAGATGTTTTTCCTTATGTTTGATGCACCATTCTATATGGCTATAAGTATGAGTTGTTGGAGAAGATATAAAAAATGCCACAAACTTTCAATGCAATCTGCTATGATGTCAAAATGCTATAGTATGGGATATGGAGCTGCCTGAATTGTAGATATGTGTAGACTGTTACATGTTCCCTGTGTGTGTTCTGCCCCTGTCTACTGTGTGCCTTGTTTGTCCCCATAGTTACACTCATTAGTTGCCATAGCTACTCTTTGGACCACACCCACTCCTTGTTAGTTCCCATAGCAACTCATTGGTTCCTTTTGTTCTCCTGTATATAAATAGCCCTTAGCTGTGTCCGAAACCGCTCCCTATCCCCTATATAGTGCACTATATCGGGTGTCGGCCATTTTGTAGTGCTGTTCGAATTCTGAGTGAACGAGTTCATTCCTTACATTCGTTCACTACTTTTTACCCACAATCCTCTCTGATTTCGAGCGTACAACTGATGTACACTTGCTGAGGCACTATTTCCCATAATCCAATGCAGAGAGGACTGACGAGCTGGAAGAGAGAGTGGGAGCGAGCGAGTTTGAATGAGAGGTACCATTTACATCTTTCTTATTTTTGCTTTAACGGTTATTTCATGCATTATTAAAATAAAATATATTATTTAGGCATTAACTCAGATTCATGATTTTACTAATTTACTGAGGTGGCATTGTTAACTTACAAGAGATGATAGAGATGTGGTGATAATTTGGTGGATGATTTAATAAATATTCGTTAATGACCTGCATGTGCCGTATTCATCCTAATGTAAAACTAACGGTTGCCTGAGGGCACTCTGCGACCACTGTCATCTTATGTGCGCGCAAAACGCTGCTTGGGAAAGTTTCAAGACACTAAAAATAATATATACATAAAATGTATGTGTAATATGTGTTTATTTTTGTTGCCAGTATTTTAATAGTATTTAATTATTATGAACATATTAAGCATTACAAAACAAGTTAGGCCAAATAATACCATCTTTGAAACCACAAAGCTGGCGCTAAGGTGTATATATAATTACAATATAAAATCATTGTGAGTATTGTTATCAATTTTATTTTCTAAAATAATATAAATGTGTATATATATATATACACTGAACAAAATTATAAACGCAACACTTTTGTTTTTGCCCCTATTTTTCATGTGCTGAACTCAAAGATCTAAGACTTTTTCTATGTACACAAAAGGCCTATTTCTCTCAAATATTGTTCACAAATCTGTCTAAATCTGTGTTAGTGAGCACTTCTCCTTTGCCAAGATAATCCATCCACCTCACAGGTGTGGCATATCAAGATGCTGATTAGACAGCATGATTACTGCACAGGTGTGCCTTAGGCTGGCCACAATAAAAGGCCACTCTAAAATGTGCAGCTTTACTGTATTGGGGGGTCCGGGGGCGTCCGAAAACCAGTCAGTATCTGGTGTGACCACCATTTGCCTCACGCAGTGCAACACATCTCCTTCGCATAGAGTTGATCAGGTTGTTGATTGTGGCCTGTGGAATGTTGGTCCACTCCTCTTCAATGGCTGTGCGAAGTTGCTGGATATTTGCCACACCTGTGAGGTGGATGGATTATCTCGGCAAAGGAGAAGTGCTCACTAACACAGATTTAAACAGATTTGTGAACAATATTTGAGAGAAATAGGCCTTTTGTGTACATAGAAAAAGTCTTAGATCTTTGAGTTCAGCTCATGAAAAATGGGGGTAAAAACAAAAGTGTTGCGTTTATAATTTTGTTCAGTGTACATGATGATGTTTCTGCGACGGCTCCAGCTCTCTGACCCGCAGTGTATTCGTCAGCGTCCGAATTCTTTCACTTCATTTCGTTCACTCCTTTCTGATATAGTGCACTCAACTGCCATACACTATATAGGAATTAGTGAATGAGTGAGCGATTTCGGACACAGCCCTTGTGTTTCCCTTGTGCCTTGTTTGTTGTTGAATGTTACGGTGCCGTTTCTGCTCGTGGTTTTTTTTCCTGTGCTTCGTTGTTTGTTTCCTTGTTTTGCTATTAAAGACCCTGCACTTAGATCCACATCTCAGCCTGCTTTCTCCTGTTTCCCGCACATTACAGAGACGTGTTCCCTTGATCAAAATTGAGGAGTCGAGGTCTGTCTATGTAAACTTCCCTTGTCCACTTAATGAAGTGAAACGCACTTCAAAATGGCAAAATGACAGGGGAAGTGGTCAGGGAAGTTTGCGAGTGTGCCTTGTTAGCTGCTATACATAAGCCGTCCGCCTTATTGGAATGGTCAAAGCTGGTCCGTGAACACTTGAGAGTAAGCTGCTTGTGTGTCTGCAACTGTAATTATACACATATGAATATCTATATCTCCAATAGACTTCAGCAGATGATTTTGCTAAACTAACACAATACAGCAAGACGAAGCCGTTAGCTAACACAATATCAAACAGTTACAATAGTTTAAAAACATGCAATATTGAGTTAATACATATTAAAAACACAAGCCAACACCTTCTTACCTGTAAAGGTTTATCCAATCCCTTCAGGAATTTCGGCGGTTTTTACAACCAGGGTCTGCACGATGTTGTGGCATCTTGGAAAACGCATTGATTTTTATTTTGAGTGATGACACATTGACTGTTCCAAGATGGCGGACGTCTCGAAGTATCTGGAGTGGTCGAATGTGGCATCTACCTATACATCTCTATGGAGCATACCCTTTCGTCCTGGTGTTTCTTGAGGAAATGACATCACACTATGCACTATTTGCCCCTTACAGTTCGGGGGAGGAGTTGAAAACAGAGACGTGAAGTCAGAAACTCTCTGCTTCCCATAATGTGGTGTTTGTGTACCTTATCACAGATGAAGTGGATTAGCCATATTATTTGTCAAATACTTTGGTTTGTATGTTTTCATGTAGTTTTCATGACAGAAATTTTCATACAGTACTTTTGTACTTAATTCAGTGCCTCTATGTACAAGAATAAGCCTATACTACTTCAGTTATTTAATTTACATTTTTAACTGGCATGCACTGCACCCAAATCGCGATTTGGCTTGATGCGATTATTGAACCACAAAGGCTGCGATTTTTAATGAAATAAATATATGCACAGGGCTAGTAGTAAATGCTACTCATCTCTGCAAGCGCTGTGAGTTTGAGTCGCTTATCATGTGCATCTGAAACGGCACACTCCAAACATCCTCTCAAACGTAATGAGAAGCATTATAAACCTGTTGTTGAGAACATTATAACAATTTTACTCCACAACATCAGTCGAGTGTTTTGAAATAACTTCATTTTCTGATCTGATGTGGCTTCTTACTACAGAATACGGCACAAAATATATTCTATACTGCAATAAAGGCCACGCTGATTAGCACTGCATTATAAATTGACTTTACTATTATGAAAATGCCCAAGATGGCGTGAAGAACACAGATAAACCATATATTGTCATTAGTGTTGGGAAGGTTACTTTGGAAATGTAATAGATTACAAGTTACCCTATTTAAAATGTAATAAGTAACTATTTCAATTACTTTATTAAAGTAATGTAACTGATTACATTTGATTACTTTTTGATTACTTTTCTTAATTTCCAACGCATGTTTTCAAATGTTAATAATTTTGAAACATTTAATCTACTAATGAGCGGATGATCTGAATCAGGTGTGATTGATTAAAAAGACATGCAAAACCACTGATCTAATATATCTAAAGGCAAAATTATAAAATTAATTTATATTTGAGGTATTGTTAATATTTAATTACAGAGTGGAATGAGCAACTTTACAAAATCAGACAGCTGAATACTAGGGCTTTATGCAATATACTCCATGATTTTGAAGAAGTGACATGGCTTTCCCACATGTGGGGGTTGTGATTTGGACATAAGGAAAAAAAAATATATATATATATATATATATATATAGCTGAATTAAACAGGATAAGGATGCGTAATTTTTTCTTTTGTTCAAAGTTGTATTTTTTTTCATTTAGTAATGTACTTCAGAAGCTACAGAAGATACATGTTTTCCAGAAGACAAAATAATTACAATTTAGCCTGATCTCTACCCCTAGCTCTTAATGCATTGTGTTTCCATCTTGAGCATCTGTGAATGTTTTTAACTTTTAATAATAATATAATAGCTAATAATAGCTTTGTAGGAGTCCCTCAGTTGTCATCAGTGTGAAAAGATGGATCTCAAAATCATTCAGTCATTGTTGGAAAAAAAAAACACGGTCGTGGATCATCTCGGGTTAACATCACACAATATTAAGGATCAAGCGTATGTAACTTTTGAGCGGAGTCGTTTTTATAAATGTAGCTACTATTTTGTCTTGTGGACTACATGTAAATATTGTATTCAGGACAGTACTAAATAAAAAAAAATAACATGCATTTTGTATGATAATTAACATTTTGCAGATTCTGCACGGAGTATGTAAACTTTTGACCACAACTGTGTGGGTGTGATTTGCAAAAATATAATTTTGTAATTTTGTACTAAGCACTGATGCTATATATTTATAAAAATGTTTTAAATATATGTCCGATGGACATGAGATGAAGAATCTCACTCAGTTTTTGTTGAGATCAAAACTTTGAATTATGTAGTAAATAATTAAATGGCATTTACAGCATGGTTGAGTGGTACATCAGGAATCAGAACAGGTTATGTTTCGGTTTTGATTTAAACATGTTGGTTTACTAATTGAGGAGCTTCTGTCTTTATATATGGTTAAATACAGCAAACATGGGTTGTGTATGATTCATTATGGTTTGCGGGGACACTGATTTGATTCTGGGGAGTAGAAATCAGTCTGTACAGTTTGTGTATGTCTGCTCAATCTTGGTATGGGTGGACATGTTTAACAACTACATACACTAAGGTTTTTTTTTTGACCGAGACTAATATAAAATGAGGTTGTTTTAAAAATAACAATAATAAAAATGCTAAATAGTAGCTCTGATCACTAATATGTAATAAAAATAATTCAATTTGTGTGTCAGCTCAATCGCGGCATGGGAGGATGTGTATATATGTATGTGTGTATATATGTATGTGTGTATATATGTATGTGTGTATATATGTATGTGTGTATATATGTATGTGTGTATATATGTATGTGTGTATATATGTATGTGTGTATATATGTATGTGTGTATATATGTATGTGTGTATATATGTATGTGTGTATATATGTATGTGTGTATATATGTATGTGTGTATATATGTATGTGTGTATATATGTATGTGTGTATATATGTATGTGTGTATATATGTATGTGTGTATATATGTATGTATATGTGTGTGTTTGTATGTATATGTGTGTGTATGTATGTATGTATATGTGTGTATATGTGTGTGTATGTATGTATGTGTGTGTTTGTATGTATATGTGTGTGTATGTATGTATATGTGTGTGTATGTATGTATATGTGTATATAGGACATGTATATGTGTATATAGGACATGTGTAGACTCGACTTTATTGTCCCCTTAAAGAAATTCTTCTTCACAGCATCATTCCATTCCACAGACAGTGTCACCATGACACAACATCATGTCATAAGTATTACACATCTAGATGTTAAGACTACATGAACAAAGTCCGCTTTATATCAATGTCCGCATCCTGGCCTATTCAGCGAGGCCTTTTGTTCAGGGCCACTATAACAGTGGGAAACAGGCTTTTCTTGAAGCGAGCCCTTCTGCACCTTAGTACCCTGTATCTACGTCCTGAACGGAGTGGGCTGAGATACCAATTTAATGGGTGTGTAATGTCCAGCTCAACTGAAGTCGCCATACGTGTAATGGCCCTGTTATTTAATTCTGTCAGGTTTGGTGTGGAAAGACCAATTATTTTGGAAGCTGTAGTAGTTATACGTATGAGTTTGGCATAAAGTCCTTTTAATTTGCGGATGGCTGGCTGTCTCTGATGGCTCCTTTTCTGAATGTCACTGGTGTGCTGATCGAAAGTAAGTTGATTGTCCAATGTTACCCCAAGGTATTTAAAATTATTGACTATTTCTACCACTTGATTGTTGATGAGGATAGAATGCTGAGGTGAGGGAGAACCAATTATTAATTATTTTGTTTTGGTGACATTAAGATGGAGATAATTATCCTTACACCACTGAGTAAAATGTGCTGTGGTGTTGTAGTAATCCAGTACAGAGTTGTCTGTAAGCAGAGCGAAGATGGCTGTGTCATCGGAGTATTTGAGATATATGGTTGTGGGTGATGGACTAATGCAATCATTGGTATAAAGGGTGTAAAGAAATGGGCTAAGCACACACCCTCGCAGTGCTCCAGTATTGGTTGTGATTACTGATGTAGCTGTGCCCACGCGTACAACTTGCCATCTATCACTTAAGAAATATATATTAAGTGTGTATAAATATATATACTTAATTAATGTTTCAATTAAACTTTTCTGACTTGGAATATTTAGTTTGAATACAAAGTTTGTGCACTAATATTAGTTGAAGTTTTCATTTAATTACATTTTTGACAAATTTTCTCTTTAGTTTGAAGAGTCTAAAAAGAGTTGATTCATTTTACATAGATATGTCAACTCTAAATGTGTAGTTCCCTTTCAAGGGAACTTCGAACTGCGTCCTCTAGTGGTCGCTATGGGGAACGATAGGAATATAGATCGCTCTTACCACGGAAATGCACGCTTCAAACAAAACGGTCAGTGAAGACGAAGAAGAGAATGACATGTTCTCCCGGCCATAGACATATAAATACCAAGACGCCTCATTGGCCGCTTTGAGCCGTTGCAGCGATACGTCAACGCGTCCGCCATGTTTGTGAGGGCAAGACTGCCTTAAAAATAAGTGGAGGTAAATGGAGGAGCTGCCTTTTTTTCTGGATAAAAACACGATAACGTTTACATTTATCAACCGATTTCAGAGGTTTGTGATCTACATGGAGTTAAAAATACCTCTGCCTCTACTTATGTAGT